CAGAAATGTGAGAATATGGCCTGTGTTGTATGATCCAAGGTTGGCATGATGGTGGAGGACACCATGCATACTGGAGATGGCAGCGCACATTGTGATGTTCCCACCACGTTGGACAGGAACATCTATAATGGCTCTGTGGCCAATTATGTTTCTCCCCCTTCTTCTGGTCTTTGTTAGGTTGAACCCAGCCTCATCTATAAAGATGAACTCATGTGGGATTGCATGAGCATCCATTTCCAGTACTCCCTCAAAACAAGGAACAAAACTCAGTCAATATGGAGTTATCCAGTACACTGGGAAACAATGTTGCGTGTAGTGTACTGCAGTCAATATGGTACTTTCATCCACATATGTTCGTCTGAGCTCTTTGTTTCTTTGAGAGTTTCTCTCAAACGGCACCTTATAAAGTTGTTTCATTCTGATTTGGTGTCGCTTCAGAATGCGAGCCAATGTGGACAGACTGACTCGTGTTGTCTTGGATGATGTGGATTTTGAATTTCTCATAATCTGATTTCATTATTAGTTGGGGGCCTTAAGCACATAAATAGGTAATTTTGCGCAAATTCATCTAAAAGCGCCAAATTTGGCACAGATGTAGCTCAGGTCATACTGAAATGATTTAGCTAGGGCGCCGGAGCCAGCGACCCTCGGGGCCAAGATGGCGGCCAAATCCAATATGGCCGCTGCCCGAAAAGGGTTCCGGCTATAACTTTTGAACCACATGAGTTACAAATACAAACTTGAAATGTTTTTCAGCTTAATTGATCATGGGAAACACATAGAAATGTTTATATTTATGACCCAGTATATCTGGACCCCTTGATCCTCCAATTCCAATATGGCCGCTGTCCAAAAAAGCAGTTTGGGCTGTAGAATGGGGCCTTACATCCCATTGTTCGCGTAAATTCATATACAAGCACCAAATTTGGCACAGATGTAGCTCAGGTCATACTGAAATGATTTAGCTATTGCGCCGGAGCCAGCGACCCTCGGGGCCAAGATGGCGGCCAAATCCAATATGGCCGCTGCCCGAAAAGGGTTCCGGCTATAACTCTTGAACCACATGAGTTACAAATACAAACTTGAAATATTTTTCAGCTTAATTGATCATGGGAAACACATAGAAATGTTTATATTTATGACCCAGTATATCTGGACCCCTTGATCCTCCAATTCCAATATGGCCGCTGTACAAAAAAGCAGTTTGGGCTGTAGAATGGGGCCTTACATCCCATTGTTCGCGCAAATTCATATACAAGCACCAAATTTGGCACAGATGTAGCTGAGGGCATACTGAAATGATTTAGCCAGGGCGCCCAAGCCAATGGTCCCTGAGACCAAGATGGCGGCCAAATCCAATATGGCCGCCGTCTGAAAGGGATTCGACTATAGCTTTTGAGCCAGATGAGATATAAATACAAACTTGATGTCTATTTTACCTTTTATGGATATGGGAAACCCATAGGAATACTTACATATATGTTTGGGTATATCAGGACTCCCCAATATGGCTGCTGTCCGAAAAAGGGTTTTGGCAACAAATTTTTAACCAAATGCGCTACAAATGAGGATGTGGTGTCTATTTTATGTTTATTGATCACAGGAAGTCCACTGGCATATTTATATTTATGCTTGTGTAAGTCTGGAACCTGTATTCTTTTCAAGACTGTGGTTGAAAATCCTTTTTTTATCACAACTTTGAAGGTTATTCTCAATGTTGATTAATTTCCTTATAAAAGTGAAATGCTTTTCAGTGTACTACAGGTGAATACATTTCAAAGTGTAATCATTTAAGAAAGAATAATAAACATTATTATTGCAAGTAAATATTTATATTGTCAAATTGTTAAAAGAATAATATAGTAAATTTCTCTTAAACTCTTAATGGTTTGCTTAGCGTAAAAAAAAAATAGCAATAACATGAAAAAACAACAGTGAATTCTCATGGTCTCACACATGTTCAATTATTATCATTTATTATCATTATAATTATCATTATAATCACCGGATCTCTCATCGTCTCCACCATCATTGTTTGCACAACACCCTCACATATACACATATACCCTCATATATTTTCCAAAACCAAGTTTACAATGGTAGCTTCCTGTACCCCGGTGAACATTTGGCCCCTTCCTCCACCAAGGTGTCGTCTCTCAGTCCTTTAGAAAAAATAAAATATACAGGGCTTGGACAATGCAGCATAAATATTTTTCCCCCACAGTAGAGTAGATTGTACAGGAAACTTTTCAGTTCATGAATGTCTGATGTCATACACTACTGTAAGTAAACAGAACACTATGACATAGGGTGTACTACATGAAAATTTGGTTACATACCTGTTCTCTAGTCTAAAGGTCCGGATGACAGAGGCGACAGTAAAACGGCTCAAGTTTGGCTGCACTCTCTGTCCAGCCTCACGCATTGTCAGCCCATGGTTGATGACATGATCTATTAAGGTTGCTCTGATTTCATTTGAAAATGTTTGTCTTCTTTAGCCATGAACTCCTCTACCTGCTCTACCCCTAGTGATGTGACATTTGAAGCGAGGCGTCGGAGCTTGTGTCGAGCAAAAAGGGGCGTGCCAGATGAAGCCGCGATTCGAGGCTTGTGTTGTTAACGTGAAAATCACGTGACTGATGACAAACGAGGCCTCGGTTTGTGTGAAAACGTCATCGGTTCGGTCTGAGTGTCGTTTGTTCGAATCTCGCGCCACCTTGTGGGTGTTGTCAGGAGTAATTGAATCAGTTGAAGTAGCGTCAGGGAGTCAGAGTTAGAGAGATGTTTCATCGTCGTTATTGTGCAATATATGTGTTAGGGCTGTATATTATTACATTATTAGGTTAGATTAGTTATAGTTTATTGTTAGTATTAATTATAGCTATATTATAGTATTGTTATATTAATTAGAGAAGATTTTGATTGCTTTGGATTTCGACTGGTTTTTGATTTAGATTGCCCTTTTGGAATTGTTTGATTTTTGTGACCTAATCCTTTTTTCTTGTAATGTAGCCAGCAAGAAAGAGCTTATTATTATTTTACTGTCTTGATATAGCTAATAATCCTCACTATATGGCTGTATAATATTTAATGTCTAAGCCTGAACACACTTGAAAAAATTCTGTTCCTCAATAAAAATAATTTCTAATCCTTCCTTCGGTCCTCTACGTCCCCAGTCCCATAAGCACAACACAGCACAAAAATAGTAACAGTTCAATACACAAAATCACCAGAAACAATTCTTAACCTTTACCACACCACACTTTTTTCTGTTGCACTTTACTTTATTACACTCGCTCCACCATAAGCACTGCACTCAACAGTGTAACTTTTATTGTTCATACTGTCACTATCCAAATCATTTATGAATAATTAATTAACTTTGAAGTTGTCTCTGTAGAAGTAAGTTCAGACAGAATATACATATTTTATTTTATTCCCAGGCAATGGACAAATGTCTGCTCAGGTATTTGTATTATTGCAAATGAAGGGTTACAGACATTAACAGTGAGAAGAAAAAAATAAAATAAAACAGGACAGGGGACATCATAAGTCTGCTCAGGTCATCGCTTCAGAATTAAATAATTTGTTTGCTATTTCTTTGCACAGTAGCTAGGTGTCACTAGTGAGCAATACTGAATGAAGCTTCGAGTAATGAACCTTTGAGTGAAGCAATGGGCTGCGAGGTCTCAGTGGTTCAGGAAGCCTCATTTTGCCATCACTATCTACCCCTACCTCTCACTCTTCCTCCCCCTCTTATTCTCAACCTCCCTCTTTCTCTTCCTCTCTGCAACGTCTTCCATTGTTGTAACAAAACAGTGCTCATCTGTGGCCTTTTTATAGTGCTTACATCCTGATTGAAGCGTTAACAATTAACCATTGAGGTGTTTGGCCAGGTGGCACATGTAATTGGCCAATTAGCTCATGTAGTGTCATTTTGAATGGTAGTGTTTTGAAGTGGCAAACATGTGACTTTATGTCAGATTGTTGTGTCTTATGCAGAGAACTGTGTTCAGTGCATTTAAAAAGTGGCATTTTGAAATGCAAAATGTGTGTAAAGCAGAAAATGTGTTTAGACGTTTTGAAACTTGAGAAGAAGTTTTGCTCTTTGTGTGTCCGTTTAAATAACTGTGCTGTGCATGTTATTTTATTGTGTTAGCAATTGGAAAAAACTGTAATAATTATCAAAAAAAGTTTAACTTTGTCATTTGTTTTGCTATAACAGGGTCATTTACAAAAGGAGCTTGATAAAATGCACCCAAAAGCCTATAAATCCTAAAGGAAAATTCAGAACTTCACAAAAATTGATGAGCATATGTGTCATAACATGTTGAAGAAGCATGTACAGTTATGGAGATCGGACCATAGGTGACACTATAACTGTTAACATAACATAACATAACATAACATCCATTCATACTATACATATACTGTACACACTATATTTTGCAAAGTTAATTTATTTAACACATATTTCTTTTTGTTAACTTTTGCATTCATACTATACATATACTGTACACACTATAAATGTGTTTGTGTGTGTGTGTGTATGCGCGTGTGTGTGTGTGTGTGCGTGTGTTTGTGTGTAAGCATGCTTTATGAAGTTAACATGAAAAAAAATGGTTTGCTTTAGTGCAGAATATTGGAGAAACAAAGTATTTCAAAATGGAAGTGTGCCAATAAGTGGTCTTCTACTGCCCTCTGCTGGCCACTTTTCTTATTAATAGTCTTTTCACATGCTACATTGTGGTAAACCATCCTATAACATGGTATATCAAGGTATACAATGGAAAATCATGTTAGATTCAAGGTAAATCATACTACAACATGGTAAATCATGAAAAATCACACTGAAATATGATTTATCATGGTAAATAATGCTTGCTACATAAAACTTAATGTCTTTTGATGCTTTTGTGCTTAAAGGCCTTAAAGGCCTAAACTGCTTGAACCCCGATAAATGCTGCTTGCAGCTTTAATTATGTTCTGTGTTTGTGTAGATGCTTCAGCAGCTGAAGAATCTTGCCCTGGAGGCTGAGACAGAGCTGGAGCGTCAAGACGAGGCTCTGGATCTATTGAGTTGTTCTACCGACCACACCACCATGAACATAAACAGGCATACCAGCCGCATGAGGAAACTGTTGTGAACGTAATGCTTAATGCCAGATTAATGGTAAGATATTCAACGGTATACACAAAAAATCTTTAGAAAGTGTGATCCTTAATAGAGCACTGATTACTGTAAATTCATTTGATCTTTATAAAGAAGGTAGAAAGCTGTAAAGAGCGTGAATGAGGTTGGGTCTTATGTCAGTCATGTTAGCAAACAATAACAATAATAGCAAGAGCAAAAGGTTTGAATTAAAGGTTATGCATTTTGCATACTAAAAAAACATGCGCGTAAAGGTAGGGACAACCCAAACCAACGCCAAAGAACTAGTGCTGATGAAAGCTGACTGTGTTGTCGCCTCGTGTTGCCTGCGTTGGGGCAGGGAAAAAATGCATTTAGAGTTCTCTCTATCTAAAACTCTGTCTGTTCAGCTTAGTGAATGAGCGAGCAAAGAAGTCAAAACGGTACAGATATAAGCCTGTTCTAATTTTACGTAATCTTACCGAGTGGTCTTTAGCGAATATTTCAATATTAACATGAGCGGAGTGGAATAAAGAAAGAGATCAGCAGAATTGATAATCAAAACGGTTAGCATGCACTGCTTAGTTTGTGTACACGGTTTGTGTTTCTGCAGCCTGCAGTGTCGGCTTCCCTTATATATCTGCAGGAATACTCTCATTTACACGCAGGCGCAGAACACAGAAGTTGAGAGGCGGCTGTATTTCTCTCCGTGCATTTAATTGCATTTTTTTTTCCCACGACGCAGGTGATGTGAGGCGACAACACAGTCAGCTTTCATAAGCGTTAGTTCATTGGCTTCAGTTTGGTGTCTCCCTGCCTTAAGAGTGTCTCATACTATTTGTAGTAGGGATGTCAAAGTACCAGTACTTTATTACCAAGTTGACACTAAAATAATATACACCTATAAAATATAATGCTGATTTTAAATGCTTACATGTGTATTTGTCCATGTGCTCTGTGAAACATGCTCATGTTTATGCTACTATGTGTGAACAATCAAATAATCTTCTTAGTCACTAAGCCCTTTATATTTCTGCATCAGGCTTTATTGTAAATGCAGCCTACTAGATCTACTTTTATTAATAGTTCACCCAAAAATGAAAATTATCCCATAATTTACTCACCCTCAAGCCGTCCTAGGTGTATATGATTTTCTTCTTTCTGCCGAACACAATCAGAGTTATATTAAATAATATTCTGGCTCATCCAATTTTTTGAACTTCCGAAAAGCGCATCCATTCATCATAAAAGTAATCCGTTTATAAAAAAGTATAAAAAAGTTCATCAACTATGATCATTGGCTTCCGGCAACATCCATACGCATGTTCACAAGAGTGTCAAGTTCCGGCGGAAGGGTCGTCTGTTATAACTTTTTGTTTTAGACTTTAGACTAATTTGTGACACGCCAAAGTGCATTTGTCAGTGGCTTACTCATGACTCTTATTCTGCCTGACAGAAAGAAAAGCTCGTACTGAAGGAGGAGCGCTTGACCAATCAGATGAAAGGGGCGTTTCAGCACCGCCCACGTGTGCAATTGAAATATCAAATCCATAAACCGATTTGTAAACCACAAATGAAAAATCGAGCCAAAATCTAATTTTTGTTTTTTAAACTAAACAAAAAAACGAATAAACGAGCTGGTTTTCATTTCTCGTTATTCCATTCCAAATCAAATCAAATGACCAAAAGATACACGGACCCGCCAGAGAGAAATGCACATTTCATACGGATTACATAAGCTGTGAGCAGTCTGTTTTCTTTTGTTTTGAATTGTTCTGTTTAAAAGTAGACATTTCAATAAATATATATTTCTCAGGTCAATAGGCTTATAGGGTTTCGATGAGACGAGCTCCAGTTCACGTGCGTGATTATCTCTGCTATATTTACTTCTTATTTATTAAATCCAAGCAATTGGTTGATGAAACATGTATTAAAATTGAGATACAATTAATACAAAACGAAATTAAATTTAAAGAAAGTCTTTGTGCTTTCTGTTTGAGGTCTCTGAAAGTTTTAGTGTCGCTTCCAGAGAACATTGTGTCACAACATTGTTTTTTTCCTCTTAAATGCGAACACGAAAAATAGTTTTTTAATATTCATTTTAATATTCATTTAATATTCATAATTCATTTAATTATGTTCTGGGGAGAGCCAACCCTTCATCTGGTGGGTAGCCTAGTATTACTTTTGGTTTGTACAGTGTAATTTACAGAATTATAATATATATATATATATATATATATATATATTATTATTATTATTATTATTATTTTTTTGCCAGCTAAATATTAAAGATTTTTTGTGTCGCGTCCGTGTACGCGTGTGCAGGGGTGTCACTAGGCCCTTTTTAGGGGGGCTTCAGAAATTCATGCCTAGCCCCCCTAAAAATTTGTGATTAATATGCTACACAAATTCGTGTTCGCTTCAATCTTGTTTTAATCAGATTCAGCGTGTTCTTCATCTTAAATCCGCAGTGGCGCCGAGGCTGATCAAAGAGCGCGTCAAAAAGAGAGGAAATTGTGTGTGTATGTGTGTTCATCTGAGCCCATTGGTCTGTCACTGCTCGTCAATGCCCGAATATTTGAGATGACCAATCAAATCAAAGTAGGCTGGCTTTACATTCACAGACGCTGAGCGCGAATTTTAGCAGCATGACTCGACGCTTCAGTGTACGGGCAAGTGCGAGATAAGATGTAAGTAGCTAAACGTAATGTTATATATTTGACAGTTTTTGAGCTCATAAATGTTAAACGAATGACAAAAAATAATCAGGAAAACTAATATAGTTTTGTCTAATGTCGCCATTTTGAACTGAAATTAGGCATGTAATGTCAGCCTAATGTAATCATTCATTTACTGTCATTGTGAGGGGACAAGAAACATTAACAAAGCCGTTTTCATCATCTTACAGGATTAATACATATTGAAAATATAATACAAATTAGCCTTTAGTAAATAATAAAAAAAGCTCATCTTTAGGAGGGGAAGAGAATGGGCACGATGAGGAGACTGGTAAAAAAAAGAAAGGATGATGGAGATGAGGAGAGACCAGTGTAGCAAATGCAACATTTAATAATATACATAAAATGTATTTAAGGGGGCCGAAGGCCAATTTAGCTCAAAGGGAAATGATTCATTGATTTGCAATGAATCTATGGAACCGAATCACTGAACCGAGCAAATGACTCGCTTAGAGTTCATTTGAACGGGCCGTAATTATAACCAAATCTATAGTGAAACACTATGTCTTAGCAAGGTAACTTTAAATCGAACAGTACAAGACATTAAATGTGCAAACACGACACAAGAAGATTTAACTTTTCAAATATATGGAAACCTTTATTAGCTATTCTAAACACAACTCTAAGGTCTAAACATAACTAAACATAATCACGCACACACACATTCATACAGTCGCGAAAGGGAAAGAGTGAGTTGGAAAGAGTGAGAGAAAGTTTCAACTTTCTATATGCACGTAAGACATCACCTGAAAGGACCACCAAGCATTAATTTGAACCTTCATTTCTTAGAGAGGTTATTCAATTAACATTAAAGCACCAGTTCAGTTAGAGCCTGGAGTACTTGCGCTTTGTAGTGGCTGAGGGAATTCCCTTTGTCTGCGTCGCGTCGAAGGGGGGTTTCCCGGCCGGGTCCGTTGCGTGGTTTGTTGTCTTTGAAGTGCAGGGATGGAAGTTTCGCCGCTGGTCACGTGTGATAAGCAAGCGAATGAGAGTCTTTTCCAGTTCGAAGCGCGTTGCAAACTTAACTTTGAAACGAGACTTTTACGAAAAAGGAAATAAAGGAAAGAAATGAAAGTAAGACGAGTCGGATGGCTTGACTGAGCTGAATTGCAACCCTGATCTTGATGGGTTATTCGTCTGCGGGTCGAATTTGGTCTAGTCGATGTAGAAGCATGCGGACATGTTCTTTGTTTCAGAGATAAGCACGAACAGAACACTCTCTTGCTGGTTTTAGAGAGAGGCACGGACTTAACAGTTACAGAACAGAACAAAAATCACGACAAAAATCTCAAAATGATCTGCTCATGAGGTCCTTTGTTCGGATCTTTAACTTAAACTCTAGTCCATCCTCCTAGAAACTTCAGGCCAATGGGCAATGGCATGATCTCAGGAGGTGGATCTACTTCTTTACTTATCATAATTTATGCATGGTCTGTGAGCTGGTCTCCAGCACTTAGCAGAGGCAAAAGACCATAGTTTAAACCTTATGATTATTATAATCATAAAACAAAACCTTTTACGCAGATTTCAATCAAGCCATCTTTTGAATTACGAGAATACGGTTCGTTTAAGAGCAAACGAGGCATTCACACTTCTAATGGTTGTATAACAATTACAAGAGTTAATAGTTAACAACAATTACATGGTTATTATGTGATCTAAGCATAATAACACATGAAGTGTAGGAACAACAAGAATTATGATTGGTTATAGGTCCAAGAATTGTTCTGTGGTGAGTTCATATTATTTTATGTGTGAGATCTTCGATCTCAACCGTAAGGTTACTGAGAGTTCAACTCGAAGGGGGACGAGGCAAAGGTGTTCTGTGGAACATCTCTGTCAGGGGATCAAAGAGTCTGTGTTGTGAGCCTCTCGTTCCACCATTTTGGAGCTGACCTGTCTCAGTAAAACATTACCATATTGACACGTTCGTCCTGTTTAGTGCCCATCTCTTGGGCCTGTGGGGCAATAAAAGTCCTTATCTGCAGACAGCACGGAGTCGTTCCGTGACTCTGGAATGTGGGCTCCAGAACTTGGAGTGTTGAAGCCATGTGAATTAATCCCATGAGAGATTAATTTGATTAAGTTGTGTTTGATTCGCCTCGATTCTCTACACCAGGTATTGAAAAATAGTCTAACATAGTTTTAAAGCTATTTCTTATCCTTTTTTTGGTCTTCAAACGTCTTGAAATGTACTTATCAGAGATTAAAAAAATTACCCCCCAAACCTCCACCTCAAATGTAGGACCTCTTTGATTATAAAGCCCTGTCTACTGCCCTGTATTAGGCATCAGACTCAGAAAAAGCTTTATCCCAAGTGTGCTTGCACACACAAGGAATTTGTTTTGGTGCTGATGTTTCCAGTGCATCATAGAGTGTAAAAAATGGTGCACATATACAAATATGATAAGGCATAAGATCAATAATGAATGTGTAGCCTTTAATGTGAATTAATTTTATAAACTTAGTTTCCTAGTAGTTTTCAGTAAATGAACACGTCTGAGAAAATGATTCATAGGCAAAATCAACCAGTTGACCCTATGTTTACTTTCTTCACTGACAGACAAAAATGAAAAGCCTATTATCAGTCAAAGCTCAACTTTAGAAGGGGAAGAGAGGGCAAGAGAAAAACAAAGAGAAAAAGAGTGTGATGCTGACGAGGAGAGAAAAATAATCAGATGCCAACTGACATGGTTTTATCCCCAAAAAAAATTGCCTTCAAAACATCTTAAAATGCACATAATAGTTCAGAGAATTCAAAATTTTATCGGGGAAACCCCGAACCCCCCTAACTAGCACAACTCAAATTCAGGTCTACAGTGATTATAAAACCCTGTAGTTGCAAGGTAATGAAAGTGATCTGGATGGGAAGGATTACTCTGGGAGTTGGAAGGGGTGTGTCGCGATTCTGCCTTCTCACATCGCGATACAGGATCGTGGACCTGAGTATCGGGATTTTGTTTTTATATCGTGTATCTTTACTGCCCTAATATTAACCCATCATAACCCATCATAACATTTTAAGCCAACACAACATCGGCCATTGAGCGCGTTCTCTGAATTTGTGTCATTCGACTACAACATTCGTAGCTGGATGGATATGTTCTTCTAAAGCTTTGAAAGCATCGGCAACAGTCCGACCTGTATCAGGCAGCGTAGAAAACTTTGAACCCCTCAGCTTCCAGGCTCTCTTATAATCCGGCGCGCTTCCTCTCCTCCGGCCACCGATCTTCTGTAGCATCAATGGCAACTAGATAGTTTTCAACCTATTCAGCCTATCCCTTTCTCAAAATCCCTTTCCCTGTGATGCACATTCTTAATGGCCACATCTGTACGTCAAGTTTTATGTAAAGCCCCTTTTGCCAGCAGTAAAGCCCCTTTTTCCACTTTGACTGGTTTCACATCTACCTGGAGATTCTTACCAGCTTTTTTTGTTTTCCGTGGCACTCTCATAAAATTTAGGAATAGTATGTACATTTTAATGTAAAAAGTAAAGTAATAGATTAATGTACCTAATAAAACCTAATATAAATAGATAAATGTACCTAAATATGTACAAAGCTTATTAATGTGGTGCATCTAGGGATGTGGCAGCCTGTAGATCACATAAAAACTGTTTATTGCAGTGTACTAAACAATTTAAAAAGTAAGTTTTTGCTGACTGTGAGAGAATAAAAAAAGTACTGGTGCAGAAATACATCTCTGTCTGAAAAAATAAAATTAGGACTCCTCAAAAATCCATTGGCTTGTCGACATGCAAATGATGCACCAGGTGTCGGTAGTAGGACAGGAATCCATTTATTCAAGTGTTCTCAGTCAGTGTGGATGGGTCTTTTAGGTTAACATAGCTTATGATTGAGTGATTGAACTACTCTTAAAAAACAAACAAATACATATTGTTAGTGAAATCGGTCAGTTTTTTTTAACTGTTTAATTTGCTATTTTTACTTTCAAAATGTGACTGAGCGAATGTATTTATTTATTTATTTATTTCCTTAGGTCAACATAGATCTGCAACCTGCAAACTAAATCTGACAACACACAAATACTTTTTAACATAATTTTGCATGGCTTGACATTCTAACCCTCTGGAGAAAAATGTAGTGAACTCTGAGATAATTTAAGCACTGAAATCAATTTGAAGTTGTTGCTGTTATGAAGTGACATCTCAGTATTTCTCAAGATTCTGTACGTTGTCATCCACTTAAAAGTAATGCACTCTATCTTAGGTGTAATCCTGCTTTTTTGTCAGTTATATGTGTGCTGAACCTCAATCAGTTGATTCAATAAGTTGTCCATTAGTGTAAAGTAAACTGATAATGTATTTATTTACTGTGTTCTTTGTGATCAAGAAAAGTGTAAAATAAACTCAAATTGTCATTTGTTTGTTGTCACTCTTCTATAAAACTGGGGGATTGATTTCCTGATAACAAACTTAAATAAGTTTAGCTAAAAAAACAAAAACAAAATTAAGTTCACACAAAAATTGCTGCAAAAGATCCAACTTGGAAAAAAACTATGATAAAACCCGTTGGAAAGCATCTTTTGCAGGGATTTTTGTGTGAGCATATCAGTTAACACCCCAGACCACCCGGTGAGTTTCTCGGTTAATTTCAATATTAACCCTTCTATTTCATCAGAAATGATCTTAAAACAGGGCTTTAAAGCTGCAGTAGGAAGTTTTGGGAATACATGGACTTCGCCTGAAAATTTGAACAAGCACAACAAACAAGTCCCAACCCCCTGCTCTCTGCTGCGCTACAGCCTTCCCTCCACAGCTCCTCCACCATAGCGGAGTAAGCAGGTAAGCAGGGACACCAATGATGGCGGATAACCAGTTATGGCACATTCACTGGTAGGGACAAAACATCAACAATGCTTTACATTGACTAAGGCCTGCCCATAATTTGACTACAAACTTGATCCTCAATTCATTATGTATTTTGCGATACATGTAATGTAAATTTATAATGTTGCACCCTTTCTATAAGTTATAAATAGTTAGTAAAATAATATAAATTCTGTAATATAATTCAAATAATTATTCTAGCGATATGTAGGCCTCATGCTAGATAAGGTTTGCCTGCAAACAAGCCTGCACTGGCCCTGTCCGGGCCCACTTAGGGCTAGCCTAAGGGCCCCCTGCAGGCTGCTAGCGCAGGGCCCATGAGAATTTGCTCATTGGCAAAACGTTGGGCCTGCATGGGCAGCCCTCACTTAGCCCTCACTAAACCCACACAGGGCCCGCACACTGGGCCCACAAAACGTTGGCCCTGCATGGGCAGCCCTCACTTAGCCCCAAGGA